CACCGCCGACCCGTCACCTCAACGATCAGCACGAAGCTGCTGCTCACCACCCCCATCCAGCCCACGCCGGTGACGAAGCGGCACGCGACGAAAAGCTCGTAAGAGCTGGCGGCGGCCGAGATCAGGCCGGCACCCACGTACAGCACGATCATGCCGAGGTAGACCAGCCGGCGGCCGTAGCGGTCGCCAAGGTAACCGGACACCAACGAGCCGAGGAGACCGCCCAGCTGCACCGTCGACTGGATAGTGGAGAGCAGCGGCCGTCGCTCGCACACCAGGTCCCACTGGCTGACGACGCTCCAGGCGCCGTCGCGGTCGTCGTACAGCCAGCGGCGGCACGGCTCGCCCGACGGCCGGCGGCAGCGCGCCGCGCTGGCCGCCACCGCCGCGAACGTGGCGTTGGTCGGCTGGCCATCGGCGCAGCGGAACTCGGGCGTCGCGCCCATGAACATCATCGACATGGCGAAGAACGGCACCGTCAGGAATATGACCGACATCCAGGTGAGCAGCAGCAGCTGCCAGCGGCCGGTGCCGCCCGCCAGCTCCAGCACGTCCTCGAAGTGCACCTCCTTCTCGGTCTTCGACGGCGGGTCCTCGGGCATGGTGGCTGCGTGAGGGCGGCGGCAGCTGAGACGTCTGTTGGCCTCTGGTCGCCGTGCGACTACCCGCGATCCAGACGACTGTGCGGACAACTGCTTCTTCTTCGTCCACTTCCTCGGCAGAAACCTGAGTCCAGTGCCCCGGTGATATTTGGTCGGCCGATGGCTGTTCTCTTCTTCTCCTCCCAGCTTTCGCTTGAACCTTGGACCCTAAGACTTGGTGGCCATCTGCTCTGGGCGACTTTCTTACGCGGCTACCTCCGCCGTCTCCTCCCACAGCACCAGTGCCTGTCGACTCGTGCAGTTCTCCCCTGCCGCGGCGTCGCCGAGCCGTCGCAGCTCCGTCGCCGGTCCGCGCCGCTCGCGCTCCTGGCGTCACCTGGCGGCGGCCGGTGCCGTGCGCCTCTCGTCGGGCGCCGACGCCAACTGCCGCTGGGTGGCGCCGCTCCCGTCGAGCGGCGCCGACGCCAACTGCCGCCGGGTGGCGCCGCTCCCGTCGAGCGGCGCCGACGCCCGTCGCCGACTGCGGCCAGGTGGCGCCGCCAGGTCGGCCCGCCGGAGTCTACACCGGACCAATCCGCCCAATCCGTCCGGCAGAGACACGCTGCGCGAGCTTACCAGGAGTCGAACGCTGTTGTTGGCACCGCGCCCTTCTGAAGGGCGAGCCTGCACTAACCGAAGCCGACCAGTTGAACATCTGCCTACAAGGCTTCCGGGTGCATAATTCATTGGCATGCGATTCGTCTTGATTTACGGCACCAGCTGCCCGGGACTTACCGGGGACTTATATGGTCCGACCGACTTATCTCAGCCCAAGTTTGGACAGGCGTGGCCCGCATGAAACGCCGCTGATGACGCGGGCTGATCAGTAATCAATACCATCAAGCGTAGTTTGACTTTATTCTAGACGTAAATTGCGTGATTTTCATGGGCTTTCATCCGTTCCGGTGTTAATTACTACGTGTATTTGCTGCTCTTGCCCGCAAATGCCACTATTTGTCATACCAGGCGATGCACGGGTAATGCGACAGTTCAGCTAGCAAAGTAATAACCTTAACAGTAATCCATTTGCTTCCATCATGGCCAGTGTACGCTGCAGAGACAGTCTGTGTGTCATTCAACAGTTAGTACAAAATGAAAAATAAACAGGGCTAAGACGTTCCCGACTAATATGCTTCAAAGGAGCGATTGGAAGGCAATGTTTGCATCAGCCTTTCCTGATTGCACAAGCCACACAGTAGCACGCTATATATCTGTCGATATTTGTGGTGATGGCGCTTCAACACCCGCCTCGTTCCCCAGGTGTCACTAGTAAGTTGGATACTGCAAGACTGGTAGACGGCATGAACACAGAAGCCACGGCAGACACGGACGTAATGCGCATCTCAGAGCCCGTGGCTAAGTGTTTTCTGCGGAACACGAACCATAATCGAGGCATGAACCCGGTTCGTAGCATCCGTGAATTCGCCGCATTTCTTTGTGATCTGTCTTGTCACGCGGGACTGTTGTGAAGAAATAACCGGTCACTTCTAACCTCCAATAACATGTCGACTGAGATGCCTCACCCTCTCTTTCTTGTTAGATGGTCAAGGTTCATTTTTCTGTTCAAAGCAATCACGCAAAACATCTCTTTTTCCTACATTTTTGTTCGTTTTGAGTGGGGAAACTTTGCTGCCTGCGTGTTGGTGAAGCAGCTAAATTCAAAAGGTATCGCGCCTGTACCAGTATTTGGACCCGAATTTTGTTCGAATGTGCGTTAAACTTAAGTCTGTTCTCAGGCTACAACCATTGGCAGACGCCTGGTCAAGCACACATTAGGGCACCTTTGGCCTTAAATGGTACCGAGCAAATCTAGCGTCTGTTAAGATCTGACAGTTGGTTGAAATCGGTGAGCCCTCGGTAGTTTCAAGGTATTGAAAGCGCATGAGCAGCCTTCAAACGACGTCAGTTTTAAGCAAGCACAAAATCTGTGCGCTTTGTACCAATGCATTCTCTTGTATGCAAGACTTGCATTGCAGCCTCTTGTCTACCAAGATATTTCACTAAAGGGTACATTTTTAATACGGTCGAAGGGACCTCCAAAATCGATTCCCGAAATTGAGCCGCCAGGTGCTGTAGGTCGCGTAAAGCGACTCATTTACTGCGCACGGTGTGTAATGACCAGGGTCTGGCCCGTTTACGACTATTTTTTTATAGCCCAGCCCTATTTTTATATAGCCTAGCCCAATTTTTCTAAATTACGCTAGTGTTGACAAAAATAATGAAGCAATAGGCTGACTTGAGGCGCCGACGTCTTACCTTACCAATTTGGCATACCAATCGCTACTGACATAAATAAGCACACATAAATAGCACAAATCATATAGTTGCGAACACACGTACGCGCTATTTTTCCAGTCTACTTTATTTTCTAATTTTGCTAAAAATGTTCCTTAAGTGAAGAATGCAAGGCAAACGCGGATTCGGGAACAGGTGCACTTTACCTACAAATGTTGTGCATTAGAGGAGGTCATGCAGTCACCAGGTACATTTGCCGGTAAGGTTCATGTAAAACACTTTCGCATCTGCGTCTAAATGCTCAACCTTATCATCAATTGCTCTCTTACTTCTTACTTACAGTTACTTCAGTTACATCTGCGCTCTGTTTTCGGAACATCCTTGTGCTTGAATGGATCAGAGGGCCTGCATTTTCAAAATACATAATTTTCCTACTGCAAGCAGAACATTATTCCGGAACAAATATTCGTTCATACTGAATCATTCAAAAATTGTTACTTCTTGATTGCCAATTGTATTGGACGAACTAAAATGCTGCTATTTGGAAGTACCACTGCTGGGTACTGGTCTCCAGTAAGGTCCGTGCTAGTGTCAGCGCCAACACCCCATAGTGAGATTGCGACAAAAACGTCCGCGTATTTCGATGAAACCGATTTTTCGTCAGGTCAAATGTTTTTAAAGAGCTGTGGTGTTGCCTTTTCATCCACCGTAACGATTCAGTCTAGAGCGCTAGCATGCTTAAGACCACTAACTGAGCTTCATCTTCCGCGGGGCGATGCTCCACGCGTAGCGTTTCCTTCAAATCGATGTTTTGTCTAATTATGCTACTTAAAAAGCAAGCCCACTGTCGAAACAAGGATATTAAACATGTAGGAAGACAATGGCATAGTTAATGCATTTATGCATCAAATTTGTCACTATTGTCTACGCATTGAACTCAGCAATGCTTTGCGGTAAACGGAAGTCACAACTTTTTAAACAATTCGAATAAGAAATTTGATAGCTGAAACCTAATTCCAGCAGCACGGCATGCTTCAGCACACCAGTGCGTGTCTTAGCATCAACCAAACAAGGGCAGCAACTATAACAAGTTCCACGTGACTCGCGCGTGTTTCTATTGCGTCACACTGCCAATGACGTCACGCGCACGCGGTCGGTCCAAGTCACGCTGCGCATTTCATGGCAGAGCAGCACAGGCCACTGGCACCGGGGCAGCCGCCTGCGCCGTCGCCACGGCATGCAGTTTGGCCGCTGGACAGAGGAGACGTGAAGGCCGCTTGGCCCGAGGCCAGCACGTCCCGTGGCCCGTGCACCAGACGCTGCCGGCCAGTCGCCGTCTGCAGTGTGCCTTCTCATAGAGCTACGTTGCAGGCAGGTGGTTTTACAGAATGTGGGGGAGGGTCAAGTGGGTGCTGTTGGCTAACGTTCATGGTATGAAGGGATTTTTTGTTGGTTTGATTGGTTGGTCTTCCGGTCACATTGACCATTTCACGGATGCGGGAGGGCGTAGTGTGGAGGCGCAAGATTACCGCACCTTTGTGTCCTCCACGGTCGAGACCTACCAGGCGCAGACATCGGCAAACGAGCCATTATGAGGACGAACCACGAAATGACGACTGACGAAAAAAAGACGGACGGATTGAAGGAAGGTGTCCCGCATGTTTTTAGCCGATAGTTGGTGATCGTGGGGCGCGAGTTCGACTTCGACCCGAGCCGATTGTCTCCATGCCCTGCTCTCTACCCATGCATTGCGATCCCTCCTTGCTCCATGGTCATAAATTAACCCGAAATAGCCCAAGAAGCCCCGTGCAGACAGAAACCAATCGCCCGCAGGGGCACCGGCTTCGGTCGGTGTAGGGGACTAGCGTCCCCTCGGGTCCCAGCTCCGGTAACGGGTGGACAGCGCAAGCTGGTCCTCTCAGGGCGTAGCGACCCTGTCGGTGCGTGAGCTCCTGCTCCTTGTCCCACCCGCTCCTTCCACCTCACCCGCACTCCCACATCCGGCCCCATCACCATTCCTCATCCTCGTTTTATCGGGGTCGCCGTGCCCCCTCGCCCACGTCCCCGGGTTGATCGGATCCTGGTGGCTGAGGGGCGCGTCGTGCGGGTCAGTCACGGCGCGCCCCAACACTCCACTTTGGCCAGGATATCCGGGGGCGTGGGGGGCCCGTGGGGCCCCACACGGGTCTAGCGGCTTGTCGCTCGCGTTGTGGTTGGGTGCCCCTTGCGGGTCTCCGCTTGGGGCGCCTGGCCGCGCGCAGCGGCTTAAGGGGTCAAGGGGCGGCGGCGCTGAACTACGGTCAGGACGGGGAGGGGTCTCCCCGGTTACACCTGGCCGTGTGGAAGGCGTCGTCCGCCCCGTATAGCACCGAGGTAGCCCTGGCGGCACCACCACCAACTAGCGGGTGGGCCGTCCCCCAGTTGGGCTCCGAGGTGGGTGGGGAGCCCCGGTGCCGAAATAAAGAACAACCTTGCATGGCATCTACAAACCCAAAAAACGCCCGCCCCCCGAGAGGGGGACGGACTGCGATGAATTTAGGGCGCAGCGAGGAGTCGGTTCCACCTGCCCCACGCGTTTTTGTCTTCCGGAGTGACGTGAAGAACCTGGAAGTCGCTTTCACCGTTTCAGCGCCGAAACG